ATGAGAAAATAAAATTACTCTCAATTTACTTATAGGAGAGGCACCCAATTAAATATTTTATTTATCGGTACAACTAATATGTGTACCCAATTACCATGAAGTTGGCAGAGAGACAAGCTGACAGCGAAACTATAAGGGCTCTACGGAATCCCAGAAACTGCTAAATCGGTACAGCAAGGGTCTGCAAATGATGCGTGATGCATAAAATAGTTTCAGTAAAAACGCAAGTCTTAGTTTAACTAACTAAAACACGTTTACGATGATTTAATAACATCGTCAGTTTATATAAACCTTTTGTTCTTTTGGAAAGTGAATTAATGGGAAATCACTCTTCGTATGCTTGTGTTGTAGTTGCGATGGTTGTTTTTATGTATTCTTTGTTTACTACAAAAAAAAATACATTTACAGTTTGAATTGCAAACATCATCTTAATTGCATTGCAAAATGTTGACGAATATATAGACGACAAGGCTCTTCATACCATCATACTGCCCTAAAGTGAGACTTTTACTGGAGAAAAACCAGAGTGACGTGAAGGTCATCTGTCTGATTCTTGGATTTTATGAGAAGATACTTCCCAGGCTAGAGAGGGGCAATATTTTGGAACAGGTTATTCCTACATTGTTAGCCATGCGCCTCAGTGACCCAGACATAATCAACCGAGTCGTTAGTGAGTAGATTCATTATATTTGAATTAATACTATTTATAACAAAACCAAATAACGCTTGATCATGATGATTTGTGTTCTTAGGTTTTGATTAATTTGGCGGATTAAGCACAAATTCAAATACCTAATTTTATAATATTGCAGTGTAGATTTATTTGTTTTGCAAAGCTGTGCTGGTTTGCGAATGATATGTTGATAAAATATTACAGAAGCGAACTGAAATCGTGCAGAACAAAATTATGTTAAATAAATTTTAATTATAGAGATAATTGCAAGTATCTGTTACAGAACTTTACAAATCGATTGCTCATGGAAAAAAAATTTGGTTTGACGAGCAACGTAATGGCTACAAAGATGATTCCCTCGCTCGCTCCGCAAACTGTTAATCCAGCACTAAACGTCGATCAGTTTTCTAATTTGATGGAGGTATAATTCATTAAATTCTTCTAATATACAAATTTCATTGATAGCCTCTCAAAATGGTTAGTTAAACGTTTTTAAATATTATATTGAATACGATCCCCAGATTCTATACGATATGTTGGATAATATTGACCAAAGCCAGCGCCACAAACTTAAATTGGAAAACGCCAGTTTGACGAGCCCGGAGCGCATCGAGCTTTGCGTCACCAGATGAGCACAGACAATATGAATGCCCTCCGTTCAGTATTCCTAATCTACGTGTGGAGAAACGTAAAACTACAAGTGCCGAAAATATGGCTCGTAAGAACTCATAAGTGGACCACCTCCTACGGGTAGTGTTGGTGGTTTTAAGAGTAAGTTTTAGTAGTATTTCATAATTACATTATGCCAATAGAAACAAGAAGTAAAAAGTATATAATATATATTTATACAGGCACGGGCTTGGGACAATGGTTCTTCGGGTCAAATAATTCGGCTAACACTGATAGCAACTTCCTTCGCGTTGTGTCTTCGTTCCCGGGCCGCCGTTTGTCGGACAATACTTTGATGACACCCAAGATTCGTATCGCCCAATCTTGTTCTTCCTCCCCTGGTGGAACGCCTGGTGGAACATCAGGACTCTGCCCACGCGTCGACACTCCAGCATCGGACCACAAGAGCGCCGAGGTTCAGCTGTAAACTTATCGCCCCCAACTGTAAGTTAAATAAAGTCACTCACATTTGCACGTTTACTTTGATATAAATAATCTTATAGTATCAAAAATATATGTATGTATGTATATATATAAACTTGTGTCTTTAAATACCTACTAATAAGATTTTAGCGGCTTGGAACAGGATTGGCAGAGGTATATATGTCGGTGGAATGCAGACAGTGTATCGATAACGACGGTAGTGATAGTGGTTATTTTGGCAGGGGCCACCAGGCCACGAGAGGCCGTACAGGAGGATCAGGATCCAGCCTGTCTGTGCCATCGACGGTCGCAATGCGTTGTAAGTGATGTGTACATACCTCGTACACGCACGTTTGTGGCTGCGTGAAAATTCCCGATCCTCTGTTAAATGTCGATTTTGAACAGCTTATAAAATTGATGTGGTCTGTTCTCTTCTACGGCTGTGTCTTCTCCCCACAGACTGGCAAGATAGTATCTGATCTTTCACGTATCACCATCATATCTGCACGAACCTGGTTGGCGTTTACAATACCTTGTAAAACCGTCTATCATGAGGTCCATCGCATCGACATCAATGCTATTACTTCTCCTCCCGTGAGACACCGTCCACACAAACTTCAAGAAAAATGTAACCTGTGCATGTCTGTTGAAGGTGTTTGTTTTGTGATAGTCGCGATGCATGAACGCCCTCACCGTCGGATGTGACGTATGCTCTGCTGGAAGATAGCTCCTCTTGCCTAAGGTGAATGTCCTGACTGTTCATATCCATATCTTAATGCACTTTTGGCTCGACCCTATTTAAAATTATTCTAAAAAAAATTAGGTAATGGACATGAAGATGAATCTTTAATTTTGTAAGGAATTGAAATTGGCTATAAGAATTCTCGGCTAAGTTAGAGTCGGTTAAGTAGAGCACACAGTTCGGCAGGTCACATAGATGTTAATGTTAAATGTTGTGATTATTATGTGTGGAAAAAGCTACGCTATGCAGGTAATCATTTCTTCATTCGCATTAAGGCTCAGAACCCGTACGTATATAACGTATACACTGTCTCATTTACTGTTGCTATTTGTTCTTCTACGCAGCTTGCACGGAGCATGATCGTGAGTATGGTTTCTTTCTACTGTTCACCGTTACCAATCGCGCAGATCCAGGCGCATCTGTATATTGAATCTTAACAACATGACCGTAATTTAGAATGAGATGTTGTTGTTACTATGGCATATGCCAAGTCTTTTTAAACAAATTTAATTTCTTCTTTGTAAATTAGTAGCAACGTCTCAGTAGTTACATGGCATCCACAAGGTAGAATAAGATCATAATCAGTATTAATGAATCACAAGAAATTTCACTAGCCCACACGCTTAAAACGTTAACACTAGAAGTAAGTGAATACAATATTATTATAAGGCATGGTATTGGTTAAGTATTTAACTGTAATTATTGCGTTTGTTGTTTACTATTTATGTAAAAGATTTAAACTTAAAAAAATGACTACATTAAAATTCATCTCTAACTTAAATACTTTTGTCCCACTTGATGAATAAATTTAATTTAAAAGAAACAATTTTGTCACTTATGCAATCCTCATTTTCCAGAAACTGGCCACTATCAAAGAATTTAATCAATGAAATAGTGTGCAAATATAATAATAATAATCATATTATTATTTTCTATTTCTAACTAAGCTGAGCTTGTACTATGAAAGCTAGATTGACTGATAGAATACTTATTTACTTTTGTTTGTAAACACATACATATTATGGATAAAAGACACCCAAACTCCTAATCAAATACTTTCAAAATCAAAATCCAAAAAATTTGGTTGACCCGGGAATCGAAGCCCAGACCTCATACAGCTGCCACTGCACCACCAAACGGCAAATAAACCCTTTGGGGGGGTTCTAGGCCAAGAAACGATGATGGCTTTGAGCGTCATCTAAAAAAACCTTTAATAGTCCTCCGCTGGAAATAGGCTTCTCCTTAAAAAAGGTTGACGTCAACAAAACATATTGTTTTTCTAGCATCTTCACATGCTAAAGCTGACGCAGGTTCTTCCAGGGACGGCTGTTTCGGAGTGCTGCACTCGGCGCTAAAAGGGCTTTGAATCCCGCATGACCACTGCGATTGCAGTGAGGATCGCTCAGCACCGATGGCGTTTGCTCGGCCTGCGCGTCGCAGCGTGGGGTCTTTATTACAGTCTTTGGGAGAGGATCTCTGCAAAACCCCCCTCCTCTCCCTCAGACGCGAAGTTCACCCCGTGTGTTTTTAGTCTGTTTGATTCCCCATATACCGCACCGCCGCAAACCCCGGTTGGTGACGGCCCCAAGGAGGCTTCCACACGTTAAAAAAAATATCTACATTGTTACTTTTAAATATTTGTTTTTGTTTAATTTAAAGTAAGTTTTGACCAGGTTTTCATTATATTTAACATATTTGTGGCTATGATTTTTTGGTGCTTTTTTACTTCCCCACTCTTTTTAGTAAAGGCAGTACGCTCGTATATGGCATGAACCTCAACTCTCTCTTCCCTAAACTTTTTAGAAGCACTACAGTAGCGGGGGCAACCTCCATAGCATTCTAAAGGCATTATTATACTGAACGCGTAATGTGTCAAGAGACCTCTGAGTACAGCTGTCCTATAGGCTGCTCGTGTTGAAGGTTTATATTAAAAAATAAAATTTAGCACGTTCACCGTAAAATGTACCATTATTCGTTAATTCAATGTTGAAACAACAAAGCTATAACTTTGTTGTATTGGGCCTACATTAAAAAGTAAAAAACTAAATTTCTTTGTTTTATCATTAGCTATAATTTTGATTTTAGTTGGTTGCACTTTTTTTTTTAACAAATCAATAATTTTTCGAGTTATTTGGGGGAAAAAACATTAAAAAAAGATTTTTTTTTTTCAAACATCTTTAGAAACATTTTTTAGCTTAGAATTCATTCTTCTATTGATTCCTGGGTTATTCTTTTTTTTATTACCACCCCTATTTAGGGTGGTAGGCACCCCTAGCGAAAGGGGAATAGGTTATATCGGCATAGGATAGATTTTACTTATTGAGGGTATTTCCCAAACTTGTCTGACAAAATTCCAGCAAAATCCATCTTTTCTTGAAAAAAATTGGAAACAGAAAACCGTCATACGCTGGACTAAATATACATATCACATTATCATCAAAAAGATATAAAAAAACCGTATTTACTTGATTAATATTAATGTCAAGGCAATTATAAAATAATATTATAATAGCATTTGTGTGTAGGGGGGCTCAATGCCTAACAACATCATCAAGCGTTCCTGTTCCTGCTGACGTCATCGATGCAATCAGTTCGTTCACGGCGCCCTTCTGCGTGCAGCTCGCAAGGCTCGGGCCTAATACAAACAGTTGAGCAGGTGGAATGGTAAGGCACCTGCCGCTGGCACTAGCAATAGGCACCACCCGCAGCTGACAACGAACTGGAGTGCTCTGCATGGCGGCCACCGCCGCCGGGCTACAATGCACTGCAACATACCGCCATGGCTGTCAGGAAATTGCCCCTCGCTCAATATTACCCTAACGCGTTAAACACCTGCGACGCAGAGACCACACGCCGGGCCTGCCACAAGTTAACCCTTAAGAGTATTTTACACAAGTAGTAGCGCACTTCTGTAAATGTGCTACGTCTTGTTCAATATCTAAGCCTGGCCCGGTGTCCGGCTTGTGATGTTACCTGACCGGTGCGAGTCCCAAATTGGGTCGCTTTTTTTAGGATCTGTCGATAAAGGCAATCCCGTCCGGTCCCTTCGATGTTTAGTAGTTTTATAACCATAATATCGATGTTGTTTAATTATTCAATATGTTAATTTTTTTTGCAACAACTATTTTAGAAATAAACGTGTTTGTTTTCTATGCTGTCTGTCTAGATTGAGATTGTGGAGACCTAAGAAATTGAAACTGACATAATGTCGCAATTGCGTTTCCAAGTTCTTTGGTCGAGCGAGACTGACATATTATCCGAATTGAATACATAATTAAAGAAAAATACACCTAAAAAAGAATATCAACCAAAGGTACGCTAAGCTTAAGCAGTATAATGTCGACATATCGCTTTTCATCAAGAAAAGGTGTAAAGAAGTCCAATTGGAATCTAATTTAGTAAATTATAAATTGAATAAAAAATAACACCTAGAACGTCACAAAACTGAGTACACAGTGAAATGTAATGTGTTGGTGCTGTGATATGGTACTGTTATTAATTATTAGATACCTTAAAGTAGAAATGACTATTTCTGTAAGTGAAAATTAAAATAATTAAATCATATCATAAAAATGGCATTAGATGAATCGTTGTCTTTTAAAGGTAAACGATTATGTGCAAAGTATATTTTATTACTATAATTAGTGAACGAAACACTCGGAATCAGTGATATCTTTTCTATTGAACTTTTAAATTGAAGTAAGACATTAACAGCTGGAATGTGGTCCTGCGTAATACACGCAAGCATTAGTTTTGTGAATGCTTTGATAGCAAACCTACACCTTCTTAATATTATTCATAAGCGTTATTATTTACCCGGCTATTTATTATGTTATACGCAACATAACTGCCAAAAGGTAAATACGGTAGTATATTCTCATCAACAGCCTTTCATAGTCCACAGTTGGACATAGGGCCTCTCCTTAGAGTTAGTATATTATAGTAATATAAAAATAAACATGTTTAAACAATACTTATTGCTGGGCTATGTGTCAATGTGCAGTGATCTCATTTTGTATGTGATAAGGCAGTATTGCCAATTACCTAATAACATCCACCTTTATTTTCGTAACTTTTTACTGTCCAACGTGTCAAAGTTCAAAAAAACAAAGTGGTTATAAATTGAGCATAACTGTGTACCGTTACCTAAACCAATAGTTAAACCTTCGTTAATCTTTGAATATTGTACAGTTTGAGAAATTCGTGCAAAATATATGTCCAAGCCTAAACCGAATCATCTATCGTGACGGCAGCAGTTGTCTATGTTTCGTATTATTTCAGGATCTAAATATGTAAAGCCTCCATTAATTATCTCTTGGCCTTACTTTAGTATGTTTAGTTTGCTTTTCTGGCTTATCGGTACATGTACTTATGTAGTATTCTTAACTATGGAAAAGCAGCTTGTACCAGCGTAGTGTCGTCGTAGCAGTAGTTATAATGTAGCGGACGGGCGGGGACCGCGCAGCCGGTAGCGGTGGCAACAAGTAATCCTGACCGCAACATGCGACCTGGGCACGCGCTTCGTTTTAATCAAGTTTTTTGGTTATGGTTGCTTCCAGTACCAGCTGTTTTCTCCGGAGGTACATAGAGAGTTGCATTAACGTTAGAGCCGCGTAGCGTAAACCGAGAGCGAGTTGGCGCAAGCGGCGCGCCGCACTTATCTCGAGCGCACGCGCAGACGCCGTCGCCTACGCCGCGCGCCGCTCGTCGAAGGGCGCGCCGCCCGCGCCCGTCCGCGCCTCGTCGCTGCACGCGCTGATCTGAACTAATCCATGAGCTTCTTACACTTGAAAATTTACTATCCAATTAAATTTCACTCAGCTGCAAAACAACGTATTTTCAATAAGAGACTCTTCCATATCAGTTTTATGCATCGGCCTAACATTTCATTACATTTTCAATTACTTATATGCGTCTAAACAATCATTATTAAAAAAACTAAAATGCATGCTGATTGTCAGTTACTAGAATTACCTAGATAATATTGATGTACATGAGACATGTATATTTTAATTAATAATAACAAGAAGTCTTGGTAAAATTTCTTGTTCATATGCACATTGATTAAGTTGCCTTCACAACATTAATTAGATAATGGAAATGTATCTACTTAAGAGATATAGTTGCCCGCTGTTGTGTACATGTAACTTTACTGTGTTTCATAGCCAGTAGTGGGAAACTCATGCACAAATGATGCACGTCACACTAATTTGTCACATATCGATAGGATATCGTTTCAATCCGATCCATCGACTAATTTGTCTTCTTAATATACCAAATTCTGTAAAATGTACTTACGCAAAAAAATATCCTCAGCGCTGTTAAATCATTACTCTAAATTTGCCTACTTTTATTTAATATAGAAGCTGGACTTTTGTTTGGCACCGAGATTAGATTTTTCATTAAGCACGAGTAAGAAAAGTTAGGGAAGTGTATAGTATATGACCTGTGAATAAAATTAGGGCTATGACACTTTTGGAAATGTGATAAGTTTTTCAACGTGCATGGAGAATCCATTCACGTAGAAGGGTGCCAAATCAAAATCTGTTTTATTTTGTATTCTGTTATCGATGAATAATATATATCTACATTTAATTTTATATAAATAATGAATATAAGTGTTGTCGGTTAACCGACTACAAATATTAATGAAACGAATGTTATTATATAAAATCAATGCCATATCTGAAAGATGTATTTAAAATTAGCCGTGAAATAATAATAAACTACTAACTTAACTGAATTTGCAAACTTGCGTTGCATTAGTTGCAAGGTGTACGAGATGATCCGTTGAAGTAAAGTGATATTGATGTTTCAATTGCGACTCAAAATGAGTTCTTTTCATCAATCAAAGTTTCTTTTGGTGAAATGGAGCTTTAAACACCTTTCCTAATGAAGCAATTGGAAAAAGGTGAATACGAAGTAGGGTTATAAAAAAATAAATAATATTGTGTAATATTACTCTACGATACGTGAAATTAAGTAAATTAAAAATTTTAATGAAAAGAAGGAATTTTAACGAATTAATATCATAGGAAGGTAATTGTTATGACTTTTGTAATCGTAAGCAATTGTACCAGTCATTACAATTGACAATTTTCTAATATGCAATTGGCATTAAGTATATATGTTCAAAACTTATCCAATATGTTATAGAACAATTTAAATGAGACATTGGAACTAAGATGATATTGTTGGTGATAAACGGATCATTTTGTATCAGAATGGCCTCGCAATTGTCGAACGAAATCAACGTAAGGTAGAATGAACGAAGTATCCTTTCGAAAACATTTACCTAAACAAAAACTATGCATAAAAGTTCCAAACCGTGGACGACTTCAAATAAATATTTCGGACCTATTACAATATTAAAAAAAGGCTTTGAAAATTATTTCGAAAATTTAACTAAAAAACTCATCAGAAACAAATTACCTAGATGTGGATGTATATGTTGTAATTATCTAGAAATGTTTTTGGGAATACAGGGGACAAAGTAAAAGAGAAGACTATAAACTGAAAACAACTCAGAGATTTGAACGCACTGAAAAATTCAATAAAAACTGTCCAATATTATGTTTTTATTGATAAATGTTTGCTGAGGGTAATAATTGATAAAAACTAATTTGATGTCATATATATATATATATAAGAGTTTTCTGAATTTTAATTGAAAACTTTAAAAATAAAATAATCTAATTACAATCCGGTACACATCCGGACTTTATTTAATATTGAGGTTATCAATTCACAAAATAAGATCACATATTTCCGTGCGTATTACTTTAGAAAATTCGAAAACCAATTCAAGGAAAGTTATGATTAATGCTTAAAATTTGTTAAAATACAACAAATGTTTAATCTCACTGCATTTCGCTACATGCATGTCATACGCCAGCAACGCTTGGCTTAGATGTGTTTTACTTACTCACAACAGTAATATTACGTATGTATAATAATGACAGAAAAGATATAAATTTTAGTTTAAAAATAATTCTGAAACATTGCTTTCTTTTAAAATAAGACAACTCTTTTTTGTTAACCGCATGTATTGACTCACATTGTTAAATTTGTTGGAAGAGTTATAATTATGTGGGGAAGGGAAGGATTCCATCAGGAGATTAGATGAAAACCAAATTGAAAGTTTAAACTATGAAAGGTTGATCATGTATTCAAATATAATTTTGGTTGTGAAATTTTTTCTATTCTGAAAGAATTTTGCCTTTTTTTTATTGATAGTTTATGTAAAATATAAATTTTTATTATGTATCTAAAAAATTTTTTTATTAACCGTTTTTAAAAAACCATTTTATACTTTTTTAAAATTAGATGATTTAAATAAAGACTAGATTTTATTTATTGTGATAAAAGTGAATTTTTCCGTTTGGAGCAAAAGAAATGAGAAAATACTTACTTATTTTTTGCTGGGTAAATAAGGTTTGAAAAATATTTTCATGAAAAAAATGTTTAGACATATCTTTTTTAATTATCTAAATGATACTGTATTGTTGTTAGAAAATCTTAATACAGTACGTTGAATTAATCAAACTGACAAGAGTTTGGTGAGTCGCACGAAAATCTGTGAAAACCCTATCTTTTTACATTTTGGTATATCAAATAGCAGACTGTTCCTTTACATATAACCTCACAAAAAAGGAACAGATAAATAAAGTAATTTTTTAAATTTTAAAAGTATTTTGGGACTCATTTCAACAAAAATATCGAATTTTGACAGATTTCAGATCTGTTTAAACCGTTCCGTTTTTTCGTTTTCAGTTTAATTGCCCTTTTTAATTTACTTTAATTTTTTTTTTGAATAAACCTTGGGTCCCGGCTTTGCCCAAAAAAATCCTGACAAACCCTTTTTTATTTTTGGGGGTTTTGGGGGGTTCTTTTTGGGTATGGATAAACTTTTCGACTTTTGGAAAGGATTCTGGGAAAATAAAATTTTAATAATTTTTAATTGTGTTTTTAAAATTTTTTTTATTTTGGGTTTAAATTCTTTAAACCACTTTTGTAATTCGCAATTTAAAGATTTTAACTTTAAAATTATTTATAATTTGGATGGATAAAAAAATTTTTAAAATTTCCTTTTTGATTATTGCAATAATAATAAATTAATTTTATTATTAAATAGAGACTATGGACCTTGTCTACTTATTCTAATCATATCACACTTTTGTATGAAACGTGTTGCCTTAAACATCGTTTTTCTACATTCATTGGAGTTGCAGCTAACAGACTGCAAGCCCCACAGTTCTCACTTCACTCTCACTATTCTGCACTTGGCAGAATTTCTAGAATTCCTTCCATTTTAATGTAATTAATTTTGAATTAGTGTTGGACACAGATCCAATTATATGGAAAATAAATATTAAGAAAAATATATTTAACTTGCCTACTAATATGCATGTTATATCGTGCATTGAAACTTAAATATAGATAGTAATTATACATGTTATTAATGAAATAAAATAAAATCTATTACTCAATTGTATTACAATGTCAGTAGATTCGATACACAACGTACCCCAAGTGATCCCAAAGGATTAGAAATTTTAAAAGTATTGCAATGGTTAAATTACTTATAGTCAAAATGTTTAAAATGTATCATAACATAATAATTGTTGCATTCAGTCCCTACCAATACTTAAGGTTGTCCCTTTATCTCAACATTGTAATAATTATCTACTTTATTAAACATAATGTTTCACGTATGTTTTGTTTGCCAACGTCAATGTAATTTTGTCTATCTTAGTACCTTGTATTGACCTAAGTGTTATTTTAAAACTCACAAATGTCCCGTAACGCGTTGTCCTTGCAACGTGGCACACGGACTTAGTCTCTACTGTATGTGTACTTACTCGTATATTATTGTGATGTTCTTCGTCTTATTATTATTAACTCTGATTTAACTATATTTAATTATATAATTTCATGTTTGTGTGAAGAAGCACACATTATGTTATTATCAAGTATACGTGGCTGTAGTAGATGAATGAAAATATAAAAGTTAACCGAATTGCAGTGTTTTATTTCATGATCCTTTTTATTAATACCTCATTTTAATCTGTCAGAAAAATTGGTTCTTTTGGAAATTTTTAAAATCGTTGTTTTATTAATTGAAAAATTGCCATATTAAGATATGTATAGCATCAGCAGCCTTTACTAGTCTACTGCTGGGCCTCCAGCCGACTATACCACGATAGCCAGACCAGTTTGGTATAGGCTTTGTTTCCAGTTTTTGCTTCTCTATGCAGTGCTGTTATCCTGCCTAGTTTACTCCCTTAGTCGGCTCTAACGACACACACGGGATGAAATAGACGTGGTGGCACTACCTGATTGCGGCTATCGTACGGAGCGAGAGTGCGTGGAACTCTGCCGTTTCCTTCTGCGAGCAAGTTATGCTTGCGAAGGAGATGGCGGGAGCGGGACCAGGAGAGATTTAGAACTATCCCGGCCTTCATAGGCGCATGCCTGGGGGTGAACAGGTGAGGCCAACTGTCACCCTAGCAGAAGCAGGCCGGGGAGGCAGCGAGCGCGTTGCGAAGAGCGCACGCCCTTCCAGGAGCACAGAGGGAACAGAGGGGTTCCCACACATGGTGGGTCGGTAGATGGCCCGAGGTACGTGGGCGCACCGGGGATTTCCTTTCTAGGGTACACCTGGTTCCCCGACTACTAGTACCTGAGACGGGGCGTGCGGTTTTAATCGGTTCGAGGTCCGACATTGCCACCGGTAAGGTGTACCCCGAGGGGATTTACGCACAAAAAAAAAAAGTGTGGATACACTCTTATTCTTAATCCGTCACCACACTGATACTTTTATATATTAGAATAATAGGAATAGATGCTGGTAGCTAAATGCGCACGCGCATATAAAAGATTTCTTTAATGTATCCATATTGAAGTTACTATTATGAAACAAGTAAAATGCATGAATACAGCAAGCGATAACGGGCACATGATGGTAAGTGGCTACCGTCGCTCATAGACACTTGCAAGTCTTCAGTCATACCTAGTCACAAGTGCGTTGCCAAACTCTGATACCAACCCCCCCTCCGGACGGACGGAGGATTTGGCCTCCGGTAACCTCACTCACTCAGCTTGAGCTGACCCATTCGTTCCGAAATATGGCTCTCCCAAGAAAAAAATTGTTACACTATTTCGGATTTCGAGCTATATTTCGGAACAATGACTACCGGTACCTAGGTACACAAAACCTTTTTGCTATGCTATGTGGACAGAATAAAATGGCAACATTTTTTTCGTCAAATCGTGGTATGTCGTGTTTTATAATCAGTGGGGGAACCGCAAGGAGATGGACCATATCTGTAATGAAATGAAAATGACATTTATTTCTGCAAGTAAATTATTTCAGATTTTTTGTACAAGTCGGACTTTACAGACAGCAGATGTCCGGCATTTCCTAAGACTCGTTTGGAAAGAAACGCCGAAACAAAACACAGAGAAGTCTGTATACAATGTTAACTAGAACTATGTGAGTGTAGTATAGGGTCTGGGGTTGGCCTTTGTGTAGAAAGGACCATAGTTATTGACAACGGCCCGTTCATACAGTCGTCATACTAGCCCCACCATTATATAGCCTAACCGAAATCAGTCGGATTAACAACCCGAACACGATACTACCGCCTACAGGACACTTGAGTGGGCGGGTGGAAACACTTAAAATCATCATAAACTTACTAAAATATGAATTAACATTACATCCTACACTATACTCCACATTTACAATACTTACACGAAAAAATAATATATACTTTACAATTCAAATTTCAAATAAAACAAGATTGAAAAAAAAAAAAAATACAGATTACAACAAAAAATTAAATGTTCATCACTTTCAAATGTGGAGTGCGCAGAATCAATTCCAAGCAAATATGTCATCTAAATAATCCGTAAGCATTTTCACATAGTTTTTGTTTAATTCATGAAAAATTGCTGGGCATTTTATTGTAGAATCGTACACCCTGACATCGAAAAGACTTGCTTACTTTTTTGCGGTCACATATATATAGCCTTCGGGTATTTGGCTGAGACGGAGTTTATAATTAAATGGGAGACGTAAGTAAGGATGAATTTTATGAGAGGGCTGAATTAAGCATACAATAAATGTAAACTGTGTATTTTTTTCACATAGTAAAAAAGTAGCTTTTTTTTTTCTTATACGCTTAGATCTTCCAAAATACGTAATGGATTTTAAATGCGGTTTTTACCGTTAAAGAGAGTGATTCAAGAGGGCGGGTTTGTATGTCAACATATCCATAGAATAAATATTTTGAAAAATGACTACTTTTCAGGAGAGCGATTTGAAGTTTGTGGTGGACAAATTTTGCTGTAACTTTATATAATCGCAATCCAAATTGCATGTTTCAGAATTTAGCAGAGGCATAGTGAATATGTGACAACTATACTCGGACTGTGGCAATCTGCCTGTCATATATAACATTTGTAACATTACTCTTGGAAAGTGCCAGTACTACGTACTTACACACATGTAACTTTGTTTTACGTAAATACGGATTGATAAACGTCATTACATGACAATTTTATATAAAAAGGGCTTGGAACTACAGTAAAACAATGCATATTTTTAAAATAAATACTTTAAAAAAAAAGTTGAACCGACTTCAAACAATACTCGCATGGAACACTAAAATTAAAGAAATAATTAAATAATTAAAAATCTAATTGAAAAACCCAAAATAAATGCGACCTAAATATAACAGGTAACATTATAATAGCAATAGATACTTTATAGTCTGTTTAAAGTGGGTGCCAAGCCAAATAGGTGACTTTACTAGGCGAGGTGGGGCGGCTGGAGGGTCTTCACGCTGCGAACTAAACGCAAGCAACATGCTAAACGACCCAAAGTGAGTTACGCACATCTCAAATGCTAGTTATCTTCTGATTGCATTTTTAATTTTTTGTGCTCTTTACTAGTATTGTTGAAGTCAGTGCAACTTTTTTTTTAAATTATTTAATTTACCATTTTTTAGTGTAAGATGCGTTTGTAATGATTAGATAAATACAGCAAGCAGCAGATTGTATGTAACAAGCACTTTGACTTAACCAAACGAAATAACAAAAATTTGTTTATTTCGTTGCGTTTACCAGTGTCGAATTCACGGAAAGCTAAGAAAATAGGTCTCCAATCATAGTAAAGAAGAATCTACAAATAATTCCAAGACAAGACCACCCCCTTTTTGACCCTTTTTACAGGCCCAGTGTTTTTACTCCAGACCTTATTATTTACATGTGCCTTCAAATCAAGGAACTTACATTGGGTCATGTTTCGAACTTTATAAGGTTGTCCTGTTATGTGCATTTTACCCTTGAACCAGAGAACGCCATTCGTCCGGTGTGTAAAATCGCTTTTTTTTAAGCTAGATTGGTATTTTCAAGAAGTGCAATAGGCGTTTTTATTGAAAGTAGTGATTTTGTACAAGAAACTGGTTATCTTGAGTAAGAGATCAATAGTAATTTAAAGTGAGGGAGACACTAGATATGTCAAGCAGTACAAGCAGCTCTTTTATCATTTGCAGACTGTGCTGGATGTAATGAATTATCTGTGACTGTACTACGTATTGGTGCAAAAACCTCTTCTCATACCCAGTTTGTATATATATAACACTAGCTGACTCGTGCAACTTTGTCTGCTTCTCTCAATAGTACTAAATTTTCTCCGTTTTTGAAAACATTCTTTATTGGTGCTCCGCTCCTATTGGTCTTAGCGTGATGATATATAGCCTATTAGCCTTCCTCAGATAAATGGGCTATCTAACACTGAAAAGAATTTTTTAAATCGGACCAGTAGTTCCTAAGATTAGCGCTTTCAAACAAACAAACAAACAAACTCTTCAGCTTTATAATATTAGTATAGATAATGTGACAACAAAATTGTGTCCTTTGGCTACAACTATAGGTGTATAAATAGATGATCTAAGATATTAATTATTTAAGGTTTTTCTTGGACAATTTATAGAACCCGAAATGAAAGATACACTTACACATAGAACCCATACTCTTAAAATCGCTTCCCACATACAAGGGTTACGCACAGCCGTATTGGCGTAGAACATGAACAGACCTGTCGCACATCGGTGTTTGAAGGTTCTTGTATTCTCGACTCCTTATTCTCTGGAGAAGTAAACTAGATGAAACTTATTCAAGTATTATTTTTGAAACTACAAAGAATTTTACAAGAGTTTTACTACTCGAAAATTTAGGTCAAGTTAACCCCAAAAACTACTAAGAAAACCCATTTGATAACATGATCATAATTCATTTGTAACTTTGTAACTTGGCAACTTGGCTTGCCAAGTTAGCTTGGCATAGGTCGATGATGGATACTATAATATATGATATTTAATATGCATATATTATAGTAAGGGGGATCCGAGAATTTCAAAATTATTTATAATGTAAAGTCGTAAAAAAAGATGTTTTTGTGCGCTTGGCATTGCAATCGCTGGCTAAAACCTTGCGAAGATAGATCAAAATAATGTTAAAATGGAATTGTATATCTTAAGATCTACAAAAAAAAGTCTGCAATAGTTTCTGTTGGTTACCAACCCGTGATATCACCCGGGTGAATAAAGTAGATTTTTTGGTTTCCTCATTTCACCTTGGAAAGAATTTCACCTAGGTGATATCACCCAGGTGAAATAAGTCGACATAAAACCGGAGGCCTTTGTTCACCTTGGAATTGATTCACCCAGGTGAACAAATGCGACTTTTTTTTATTCATCTTGTGTACTTTATCACCCACATTAAGCATGATAATAAAAACTTTCAAATTTTGCAGACAACTAAAATATTTAAATCAGTTTAAATATTAGACATCATTATAAGTCACTATGAGTATATATTTAATTAAATATCAATTTTACTAGTATTGATTGGTTGATATTGTGTTCAATTATATTAAAATTACAATGTAAATTGTTCAACTTCTTTCCTTGCATTCGTTTTATAAATTTTTTACTATAATTTCTTGAAATTTTTTGAGTGCAGTCAGGGTTATTAAGAACTTCTTTCGTAATACTGTTATCCTAAAAATACATAACATAATTAGTTAATTAGTATAAACTCAAATTAATATTTTTTTACTTTTACTAATCATATCTGGACGTATAAAATAAATAAAAATTTGAAACACTGGATAGTCCACAGATCCCGGGCACTTTCTTTTGACTGTTTACAACATCCTCTACCAAATGACACCAGATTTATATGTCTTTTTCTTATAATATGGCATAAAGGTGTATCCAATCGTTTATTTTAACTTTTGACAGAATCACGCACATAAGGTTTTGTAATAATTTTTGATACAATGTACTTAGAGGGAATACTGGACTTCATGGACGGGCACCGGCTACACATTAGAGATGTGTCAAAAACGGTTTTGAAATAATCGATTATCGATTTTATTAATAAACATACAATAAAATTATTGTGATTATATTTTATATCAAATGACATAAAAACCTTTATTATTTTGCATTAAAATGCCCTAAGTGTCTCTGTTTTAGTGCATAAAATAATTTGCGTAATGAAAACAGTTCCATCGTACTCGTACCTAGTAATAGAGATCGAATGTTTTCGCATGCAAAATTAATGAATCTAAAATAATACATTTAGACTTACTGTAGTTGGTTCAAATAAAAAGCATGTGAATGAACTGCGGTACCTACTTGTAATGAACAGGTACAAAATGTTGAAATTCATAGTACTTTAGGGATTAAAAAATGAAACAACCAAAAGAGGTACTGTAATACTATTTTAAATTATAAAGAATCGTCTTTTTCGTATGACCAGGAATCATCATCAACTTGAGTTCTCAGTTATATTGATTATCAATTCTTGGACAGATAATTGTCGAATAGCAACATCCCGATCCTAATCCGACATTATCACCTTTTTTGTTTTTTTTACAACACTCACCCAGTTTTCAGAGTTACTTTTACACACGCATTTTTTAGTAAAATCCAGCATTTTTCTTGCGGTGAAAGGAGGAATTGTATTGTTTCCTCGCAAATTCCTCTTCAATTACATTATATTTGCAGTGATATGGGGAAATTCTGAGGACGGTATGCCCATGCTCTGCTGCCATTTCATCTAGTTACGTATCGTTATGGCAGCTTCTTTGTTTTTAAATATCTTACTAACTCTACTTTTAGTATGGGACTCGTCGCCAGTTTATGATTTCCAGTTATTTTATGCCACAAAATTTTTACAAAGGAAAACGTCAAACTTGAGAAAAGAAAATAAATAATAGGTTCTAGACAAAAAATGCTTCGTTGAATACACATAACCTAATATCCTAGTTTTAAGTTTTTATTATCATGCTCCAAAACCTCCTTTCTAAGGAGAGGCTTATGTCGCGAGCAGTGGACTATTAAGGCTGTTGATGATGATGATGATTAATCATGCTTTATGTGGGTGATAAAAGTAGACAAGACGATTAAAAAAATCGCATTTGTTTCACCTGGGTGAATCAATTCCAAGGTGAACAAAGGCCTCCACTTTTGTCGACTTATTTCACCTGGGTGATAACACCTAGGTGAAATTCTTCCAAGGTGAAAAGAGGAAACTAAAAAATCTACTTTATTCACACCGGGTGATATCACCCAGGTGAATATAGTGGAATAAACCTCTTTTACATATTACAATAAATAATTGGTAATTTACCAAGCTATTTTATATAGTCTAGTCAGAATTAAAAAAAACCGGTCAGGTACGAGTCGAACTCGTACGCCAAGGGTTCCGTACCTACCCAGAAGTTACGTATATTTTCGCGAAAATTTGTAAGTACCAAAATTTATCTTAATTATCAAACTTTTTTATTTTTGAAATTATTCCTTTCTTTGTGCTGGCAGTTTCAGGCGTTTAATTTTGCCAAATTTCGTGTCTAGGTCAACGGGAACGAGTTTTCGACCCAAAACCTATAGGGTACTTCCGGTTGACCTAGAATTGACAATTTTGGTTAAAAGCAAGGTCTTACAGCATAAGTTAAGAGAAAAATTCTAAAAAAATAAGAAAAGTTGAAAATTAAGGTAAATTTTATTACTTACAAGTTTTCGCGGAGATCTAAATTTGGCCATATCTTTTTATCGCGTTGACTCAGTGCCTTGATTTTTATACACCTAATAGGGACCATAGACCTCAGTATTTGGTATAAATTCAACTTGCTTAGGTCTACCCGCTTCTGATAAAATCGGTGGTGACCCACGGACATACGGACAAGAGAGTGATCTTATAAGGGTTCCTTTTTTACCTTTTGAGGTACGGCACCCTAAAAACGGAATGACTATGTCTCATGAGATCGGGGAAAAACTTGATCTACACGAAAATTAGGGAGCGAAGTTTCACTGGCAGTTTCGATTAAAATTCTCCAAAGATTTTCAGCAAATCTTATCTTGATATATAAAGAATTTTACCACTGTAGGATAAACCCTACAGTAAATGGTAAAGGGTTCAGTGCGGAAAACATAGAACGTGGCAATTCATGACGAACAAGTTGATGGAAATAAACTCACACTAGGCCCCAAATTAGGATGAGCCTATACTATGGCAGCCAGACCATATATTTACAAATAGTAAACATACGTATACATCATACTCGTAAGTATAGTATACACCCAAATATAGTACAAGTATGACAAAATGAAGATCGTGTAAAAAGTTAACGCTATTAATCACAATCTACCTTCATGGAATTTAAAGCTCTTGACCTTAGCTTAATGTCATGCTTAAAATTAAGCTAAATTTAATTTAGTGTCTAATGAACTTGACGCTGTCAAATCTTCTCTTTAAATTTAGCAGTTTTGGAAGAATTTCCATGTTTCAGGTAATTCCCGACTTTATTGGATTTGAATCATGTGTTGTTATTATTTCAATACTAAAAAAGCAGTTGATTAAATAGATAAAGAATAGTTTAAGTTTTAAAATCAAAATCTCATTTTACAACATCTAATATTACAAATCGTTAACTATAAATAGTTAACGATTTGTATTATTCAAGTGCAAGGTACATCTCATAAAGTAGCACCACCTATGAAAATACGGAATGCCGACGGCAATCTAGTAGGTAGCAGATAAAATTAATGTCATCTACTGCCTGCTAGATGTCGTTCAAACATGTTATATAAAACATACATTTTAGCAGTCCGTATATGTCTGTAGTCGGCGGCCTCAGATACATGAAAACTAGGGAAAGTGGTGGTTGATGCCATCAAAGCCGAAATTTGGCCTTAAAATTAAGAAAAAACTACCTATAGTTACATCCTGAAGTCTTTTAGAAAAACTGAGATACGCGTCATACTT